AACAAGAGATAACAGCATATTTTTGGAAGATGTGAAGCAATTTGGAGGAATGGCACCTGTGAGGTGAAAGCAGGAGTAAGATTGAAAACAGGAGGTTTGGTTGAATGTTTTCATCCCAAGTTTAAGCCTACCTCATCTCCAGCTGTCAGACAACTCCCTTTCCAACCCCTATATAAGAAACAGGGGGATTAGTTTCTGCAGAGACTTCACCAGAGATCTGGATTCAGGAAACCCAGACACTCAAGGTTCCTGAGGGGCCTTAACTGAAAACAAGAATTGAATGAACTTCGTAGGACCCAAGGCTCCTTCTCCTACTCAGCTCCCAGAACATTGGCTTATATCCCAGGTAGGAGGCTGATGAGTCGTTCTGAAGCAACTGATGTGTTCTAGAGAAAAGAGCTACAGATACAAATAATTATGGCCTACCAAAGGAAAAACCAGGTCTTCATCCCATCCATCCCCTGTGAAACCCACCTGGAGATAATCCCCACCTGTTTGTTTCCTATGGTTGCTATACCAAATTAACTATAAATTTAGCGGCATAAAGCAACAGAAATGTATTCTGTCATAGTTCTGGAGGCTGAAGTTTGAAATCAGTTTCACTGAGCTAAAATCAAGGTATCAGCAGGGCCATGCTCCCTCCAGAGGCTCTAGGAGGAGAATCTATTTCTTGCCTTCCAGCCTCTGGGGGCCGCCAGCATTTCTTAGCTTGTGGCTGTATCACTCTTTATCACTCTGATCTCTGCCTCCTCAGTATTTACACCACCTCCTCCTCCTTTGTGCCGTCCCCTTATATGGATACTTGAGATTGCATTTAGAGCTCACTCTGAAAATCCAAGATAATGTCACCATCTCAAAATCCATAATTGAATCTATAAAATTTCTGCCATATATGGTAACATTCTTATATTCCAGGGAACAGGACATGGGTATAATTTTGGGGGTCATTACTTAATCACTCTCATACAGAGAGCTTTCAATCATTCTTTTAGTGTTTCACACTTAAATGTGAGAGCAAAAATTTTTCATCTCTAGTAGATATTTGAATTTCTTGTTTCACAAATTGTCCATTCATGGCTTTGATCTGTTTTACTTTTCTTTCTTTCTTTTTTTTAGTACAAACACCTTTATTTACTAACCAAAGCGGTGATCCAAATTAAATCAACACTTGGAAATAGGTGCATGTAAAATGTTTGCAGTAAAGGTAATTGAACACAGTAATGAAAAAAAAAAAAGTAGTATGGAGATTTGCTCATTGAACTGAGCTTGTTCATTCTCGCAACTAGTTCCTATCTGAAGTAATGATGGAATTTTTATTCTACATTTTCATAGACTCGAGTACAGGTGACATTATTCATGATACAGTCCACCACTAATTTTCCATCTCGTAATTTTCTTTTAATTGTGTTCTTTCCCATCCCATTCTTGATGTTGAACCAACACACTATCCTTAAAGTCACAGACAGTCTGAGTTTTTCTGCCATCAGCTGCAGTTTCTTCAAACATTTCTCCCAGGGTACAAGAAAACTGTGGGGTTTCTTTGTTTTATTTTGTTTTTAATTTTTATTTTTTAGAGGTTTTTGCTATAGGGCACTCGCCAGAAAGACAGAAAACGAGAAATCACCCCCCCCCCCAGCGGGGCTGGCCACACCGGAATCCCTTCTCCTCCATTCTCCTCTCGGGATCTTGGGCCCACACACACACACGTATGGCATGAGTTTAAGCCCCCAGGACTGGGACTTGAAACCCGGTTGACTACACGGAAGTCCAGCAACATACTCATTACGCCAACTGTTGTTCCCACAACTGTTGTTTTTACAGTGCTCTCAGTTTTTACAGTGAGGTTATTCCCATCACAAGTACTGATACAATCTGGTCTGGCCATTGCACCCATTTTTCGCAGGGCTATTCCCACACCTAGTTCCTTCAGGTATTCACTAAAGCCTTTGCTGTCCACCAGGTGCCATCTTCCTGCCAGCTGCTGAACATCAGCCATGGTGAGTGCCAGCACGTGGGCGAGTGCAACGAACAGGGCGGAGACCCGGGTGAGGAGCTTGAAGTGCCGATCTGTTTTACTTTTCTGGTGATGTTTCCCCATAGATTAAGAGAATTTTATAGATAAGGGCATTAACCCTTTATCTGATGTATACTTTTCCTAATTTGCATTTGCCTTTACTTTTGTTTATAGTTTGATTTCTGGTATGCAAAAAATTTTAGATGTTATTTTATAATCAGATCTAAGATTCTTTTCCTTTGAAATTTTTTTCCATTGCTACTATCTCAAAAAGTCTGAGATTAGATATATCATTATATATTTTCTCCTGGCTTTATGGTTTCAGAAGTATCTAATCCTTTAATCAACATAGAATTTATTTTAATGTATGGCATCAAGTGTGAATCTAACTTAATTTTTTCAAGTTATTTAATTGTCTAGCACAAAATATATTTTCCTTAAATTTGTATATTCTAGAATTTTCTCAGCTCTCTCGAATTCTCTTGTAGGTGTTCTCTGTATGTTCTTTCCCCCCTTTTATGAAAAAGAGGAAGAGAAAGAGAGGTAAATAGAAATAGGCACCCTTGTCATGATCTCTTGGCCTCACAATCCTCCTGTCCCAGCGTCCTAACTAGGCAGGATCAGGTGCCCAACCTATTCAGGTCAGCACAGGAGCCAAACCTGGCCTCCCCTGTGGCCTACAGCCTCCCAAACAGTGGCACCATCTGTGTACCACTGCAGCTGAACCTGTACAGTCTTTTTTGACCTGGGTTTATAATTACAAATAAATAACAATTGTCTATCAAACTATCTCAAAGTGATTTTATTCTTAGCTTGACTCCTTTTTAAAAATAATTATTTTATTTAACTTTATGTATTATTATTATTATTTTCCAGTTTGATCAGAGAGGGACAGAGAAAGAGAGGGAAAGTGAGAAACCAAACCACCAGGTCTTGGACTTGAACCACCGTAAGCCATGTGGGAGTTCAGTGCCTTTAACCACCATGATACCTGCCAGCTCCTCAAAGTAATTTCTAATTTTCTCATTCTTCCAGATTATTTATATTATTATAGGCACTCTTCACTTAACCCCGAGTTTCATTCCAAAGACCAGGCTGTTAAGTGAATGGATAAGCTTAAAGGTGATATATTTTGGTGTGTCGCGGCACCACAGGGTATATATTTTTCAATAGAAATCACATGACACCACACTAGAGTAATGTAATTCAATCCACACAAAGCAAAGCATACATGAGATAAGCACCAGAAAGTGACAAGACACACCAGACAACAATGATATAAATCTGGCATAATGCTTTTTTATTTATTCTGAATACTACTATGGGCATACAATAAAGTACAAGTGTATAAGTTAAATATGTAGTTTTGGGTGATTTTGCATGCTTCATGGGTGAATATAAAGGACTGTGGGAATGAGACAAATATTAAGAAAGGAGATTCCCAAGACTCACATAGACTTAGAAAGGAACTTTCCTGGTCCTAAGTCTGAGAGTGCTCGTTATACAGGTAGGCTGTTAAATGAAGAGTGACTGTATTTATTTTTTGACATCCTACTAGTTACTTATCTAAAAAAGTTCATTCTATCATAACTCACATACATATATTTGGAGATACTTAGAGACAGAAAAATATTTTCACATATTTGTTTTCTTTCCTTTTTTTTTTTTTTTTGTAAATTCACAATAAAGTGGAAGGACATGAAGTGAGAGAGAGAGAAAGAAATGAGGACCTTCTGCAGCATCTGGTCACACTGTGATCCTTTTCCTCCAGTCCTCTAGTCCACCGATCTTGGGCACTTACCCAGCATGTTTCGGGGTGACTGGACTGGGACTTTGAACCATGGTTGCCCAGTGAGATCTGGTTTCTCTTGAGCAGCTCATTACCTTTACACTAGCCCATTTTCATGTATATTAAAGAAAAACTAGAAATACTCTTCCTTTTTGTTGTTAATACAATAATTATTGAATATCTCTGGTGATTTAATTAATTGATTCAACAAAGACTATGTGACATCCACATTTCTACGTATACAGGACAAAAACATAAAAATTCTTACCTTCACAAAATGTACATTCAATTGGGGGACAGATAAAAATAGGATAGTAAATTTTAAAATGTATCACACAGTAATGAATGCTATGAAGAAAAAATAAACCAAGAAAGGGAGATTGGAAATTCTGAAGAAGTGACTAGAGAAAACTTTACTAGGAAAGTGATATTTGAATCTTGATAAAGACCCAAAGAAAGTAAAGCAGTCAGACATTTTGTTCTATAATTTGCCACAAATGGATTATTTACATTGAAATTCCCAGCATATCTTTGGATATACTGTAAATATATTTTAAATTAGTTGCATTAATCATTCATAGCTTAGTTACCACAATGTGAAAAATGTTAATCTTTTTTCTCTCTTTTTTATTCATGATAGAGTAAATGCATGTCCATGAGAGAGTGAGAGAAAGAGAAAGGAGCACCCTCTACCAGCATATGGTCAATCCTCCAGCCCTTTGGATCTTAGGCACTGGCACAGTTGCCCAGAGTGTTTCCGGCTAACAGGGCCATGGATTTGAACCACAGTCAACATGGGATTCAGCCTCTTGCAAGCAGCACATTACCCTTGCACCACAGAGCTGGCTTCAAAATGTTAATTATAATGTATCAAAAAGGGTCTGGCTCTCTAACTTGGTGGTTGATGTGGCCAGATTTCAGATGGCTGACTACACGGTTTGTATCCCAAACCCAGTAACTTAAAAAATATGCCAGGTGTATGTGCATGCATGCCCAAAATCCCAAAAGGAGGAAGATATGGAGGAGAAGGAATTGCAGCATGACCATTCCTCATAGGGAGTGCATTCTCCTCTCCCTCTCTTTCTCTGTCTCTCTCTGGCAAACACAGGTACCCTCTAGCACAAAGAAAAATCAAACCAAATAAAAGGAATTAGAACATTGAGTTCATCATAAGTTAAATATCTACATTATACTTACAGGAGTGAAACAGCTTGTTGGGAATCTCTGGACTGTTGAACGAAATACGAAGTTCCTATGTTAAGAAAAAAAGGCAATTTTCTAAATCTATTTTTTTAAAGTAAATTTATTTCATGAGAGACAGAGAGAGAGAGAGAGTAAGAGAAAGACAAGCACCCTCAACAGAGTTTTACATCACAATCCTCCCTTAGTCTTTCCAGCCAGTTGGATCACATCAGCTCAGTGTGTACAGGTTGACCGAAGAACCAAAATCTAATCTTCCATGTGGCTCCAGCGTTAAGCAGTGTACTACCGCCATTCCACTGTAGCTGGGTCTTTCTAATTTTTTTTTTTAATCCATTATAGAGAATGTGTGAGTGTGCATGTGAGACAGAGAGTGGGAGAGAAAGAGAAGCATTGTTAGTTGGATGTGGTGATACTGTGATCCTCTTCCCCCAACTTTCCAGCTGATCATGGGCATCCATGTATATTCCCAATGTTTCAGGTCTGCTGGTTCAAGGATCCAAATCCTAGGTCAGTCATGTATTTTCCAGCACTGCAGTTTGTTACACTACTGACTGCATCACAGAAGCTGGGCCTAATGAATTTTTTAAACTGAAGGTTGTTATTAACTTATTCCTTATCTATCATTAAATATGTGAGAATGCTAATCTGGATATGAGGTGTATAAATAAATGAGGTTTAAAATCCATGAATACAGAGTTAGTCAGTGGATCCAGTTAAGGTAGCTGGATCCCACATGGCCAACTGTGTGGCTTGAGTCCTATACCCGGCAGCTTGAAAAACATTCCAGGTGCATATGTGTGCATGCTCAAAATCCCAAAAGGAGAAATAAAGAAGGGATTACAGTGTGACCATATTACCCAGGGTGTGTGTGTGTGTGGGGGGGTACTTTCTTACTTTCTGTCTCTCTTTGGTGAACTGACATGCCCTCTAGCAAGTTTAAGGGGAAAAAAGCCATTGGGACCAGCAGATGGCAGACAGAACAGTGGTTGGATCCAGCAGGGCTAACTGTATAGCATAGGCCCCACACCCAGGAGCTTGAAAATCACACTAGGCAAGTGCACATGCCCAAAATCCCAAGAGGGGAATGGAGGAGAAAGGACTGCTGCCGTGTGTCATCATGGGAGGGGCTCTTTTTCTGTCTTTCTCCAGCAAGCACATGCCTGATAGCAAAGAAACAACAACAACACAAATAAGGGGTTGGTCAGTTATGTGGTGGTTAAAGTATTGGACTCCCATGTGGTTGACTCCAGATCAAATGCTGGACCTGGTGGCTTGTTTTCTCACTTTCCCTTTCTCTCTTTCTGTCTCTCTCTAGTCAAATTTAAAAATAATAATAATAAATAAAATTTAATTTTAAAATTATTTTTTAAAACATGAATATATATGTAAGACGTGTGAGTATTTAAGGGATGAGTGAAATGATTAAATATAACTTAATAGTTTATAATTACCTGGAAGCATACTTGGGAACTGGTATAGGAAGTATTTCATATTGCCCTGGGGAAAGCTGAAGTGTCTACAAAGAATAGACAAGGATACCAATAATAGATAAATGCATGTCACAAATTCACTTTGCTATCTGTCATACATAGTTCTTTATTTTATGACCAAGTGACATTACATAATTTCTCTACTTTAACATTGGAAAAGGTACATGTTCAAGGATGGCACTTAATGCAGCCAACATAGATAGAGAACTTGGGACTATCTGATTATCACACACATAGCATTCAAGTGCATAATATTAAAAAACTGAACATATATTCACTCTTGATGGCAAATTTTGTAGACAATATGGCTGAGATACTACATAGGTAAATGCGCCCAACCAATCATATTTTAAATGTACTTGATTCAACAAATCTATTTGACCATTTCATGGACCTGCTAACTTTACAGTACAAGGTAAAGCAGGGTTAGTAGTGGGGCATATAGTGGTAAGACTGTTGTGGTCCCTGACCAACAGGAGCAAGAGGCAAGACCAGAAACAATGCCAAGATTTATATAACCAACTAATCATGGAAAAACCCTTAGACAGTAATAGTCTGGAAAGTAATAATGTTACCCATACTATCTGTATCTGTCTTATTATACTTGGCATTGTCCATCCTTTGCCTTTCAACATAACTGGGACAGGCCTGACTTTTTTCCCATAGTTTTGTGTTAGTCAGCTATCTATGTAAGAGATTGTCTCTCTGTTTATTTTACATTCACTGTAAACTATCTGGGTGGTTACAATGTTCTTGAATTAATGAATTATATGTGTGTATGGACACACATACACACACACGTATATATACATTCTTTTCCTAGCACTATGACATGGCCAACACAAGCACAGAGGATGACACTCTCTCTAGTCAAATTGTATATATATATATATAGAGAGAGAGAGACAGACAGAGAGACAGAGAGAGACAGAGAGACAGAGAGACAGGCAGAGAGAGAGGTCCTGACTGCTTTCCCTTTTATAACCAGCTCTTGTGAAAACTAACCCCTTAAAATCCACTAGGTCTCAAGAGACATCATTCATCTATTCATGAGACTATTATCTCCATGATGCAATCACCATGAATCAATCACTGCCCACTAAGCTTTACCCTGGGACACTATTAAGGAATTAACTTTTCCCTTAATACCTTTATAAAACAGTCAACACAACCAAATTCAACATAAGAATTTCTGGGGGACATATTCAAACCATAGCAGGCTCAGAGAATCCAGATTATGTGCCCATAAAAATGTACAATTCAGGAGCTACCAAAACTCCCCTTTTTGACAGCCACTTCCCCAACCAGGAATGGCATAACCATCTGGATTTCCACTGCTGTGAGAAGATATCAATTGCCAAAGGAGGTGACATCTCTGTGTATGAAAGGAATATGCAGCTTGAACATCACATTGTGTGTGTGTGTGTGTGTGTGTGTGTGTACGCACTCAAAATCCCAAAAGGAGAATTGATATATATGTGTGTGTGTGTGTGTGTGGACACACACACACAGCAGCATGACCATGTTCTATTAGAAGGGGCATCTTGGGACCAGCAGTTAGCATAATGGCTAGGTTGCTAAACTCCCATGTAGTCGACTGCAGTTCAAGTCCTGGATCCGGTGGCTTAAACTCACATCGGGCACGTGTGTGTGCATGCCCAAGATCCCAAGAAGAGAATGGAGGAGAAGGGATTGTGGCGTGGCCATCCCCCTGGGGGGCGATTTCTCACTTTCTGTCTCTCTGTCTTTCTCTGTCTCTCTGGTGAGCACATGCACACTGTAGCAAAAACCTCTCCAAAAAAAAAAAAAGAAGTGGTTTCTTTCTCTCTCTCTCTCTCTCTCTCTCTGGCAAGTGCACATATCCTTTCACCAAAAATAAATAAATAAGTCTGTGTTAATTTAGAATATTGCTAGGTTGTGAAAATGCCCTCCAAATATTTGTACCAATGTGTACTCATATAAAAAATGGATGAGAATATTTGTATCCCCTTTACCAGTACTAAGTATCAACACACCTAAACTGATAATCATGGTAAAAACTGCCTTATTACTATCTTTCATAATTATAAGTTGAAGCCAAATGTTATTTTATGTTTTTAGTAACTAATATATCTCTCTTCGAATTGCTAGTTCATGTTTTTTGCTCATTTTAAAACCAGAATGTCTATTTTATTTTTAAAAAGAATTATTTCATTTTTTATTGAACTTTATTTATTTATTTATTTATTTTAATTTGACCAGAGAGGGACATAGAGAGAGAGAGAAAGGGAAAGTGAGAAAGCAAGCCACCAGGCCAGGACTCAAACCACAGTCAGCCATAGGGAAGTCCAGAGCTTCTAACCATCATAACACCTGCCAGCCTCCAGAATATCTATTTTAATTGGATGGTAGGAGAGCATGACTCATTTTCACCTTGTGATGTAAGTGTTGAAACTACTCAGCTATGCTAGTCAGCATTTTCTAGAGATTTTCTCACATCTTCACAGTGGTGCACTCTACCTTCTTTGGATTGACTGACCCTATTCACTGGTTACAGAGTGGGGCATTTTTTTCCTGTCTGTTTATTATAAGGAGATTCTGGAACCATGTTCAAACTAGCAGTGACATAATGACTTTAGGTCATTCTGAAGTTCTCCTACCTTGTTGATTTCAAGTTTAAACTTCTCCATTTAAGTCACTGATCCATGTTCCTAGTTGAAAATGTGAATGGTGTATTTAAAATGGACTTAGACTGTGCAAGATGGAGTTGCAAAATAGCAAAACCTTTCTCCAGAACATTTGAGCAATGTGTCTCAAAGACACCCCTTCCTCAGATCTCAGGGTGTAGGGCCAAAACCAAGCAGGGGATTGTGTACTCTCCAGTCCCAAACCCTATAGATTTGGATATGTCCTTCATATTTGATTGGATTTACAGTGGTTTCAGCAGTGTACTACAGGCTTAGAAAACTGGTACATTGGTATTTCTTGGGTTGGATAATGTGGGAAAACCAACATTGCTACACATGCTAAAAGATGACATGCTTGGACAGCATGTCACAACACTGCATCCCACATCAGAAGAACTGACCATTGCTGACATGACTTTTACAACTTTTGATCTGTGTAGACATGTTCAAGCTTGCAGACTATGGAAAAACTACCTTCCAGCTACTAACGGCATTGTATTTTTGGTGGATTATGCAGACCCTGAAAAGCTGTTAGAATCAAAAGAACTTGATTCACTAATGACAGATGAGACAATTGCTAATATGCCTATACAGATTCTTGGGAATAAGATCGACAGACCTGAAACCATCAGTGAAGAGTGGTTACAAGAGATGTTTGGCTTATATGGTCAAACAACAGCAAAGGGCAGTGTATCTCTGAAGGAACTGAATGCCTGACCTTTGGAAGTTTTCATGTGCAGTGTGCTCAAAAGACAGGTTATGGAGAAGTCTTCCGCTGGATGGCATAGTACATTGATTAACACCAACCCATATCAGAGATTTGATCACTCAATGTGTGTAACTTGAATTCAATAGACTTTTGTTGGTTATGAAACAGATTTTTAAAAAATTATTAATATTATACCAACCAAATTTGAGTGAGAATTGAAAACTGATTAAAGTAAGTTTGAATATCACAATGTTAGCTTTCTAATTCCATAAAATAATTAGTTTTTATAGTTTATAATTTGACATTATCCCCAGCACCATTTCTAAAGGAGCAACTTTCCAGCAACGCATTTGAAGCACTTTTTAACAACATGAAACTATATATACAAACCATATTTAAAAGCTTATGATGTTAAAATTGTTATGTACTTTTTTGAACTAGTTTTATCATTTTAGAATATATGTCCACTATCTGGAGTGCGTAGCTAGTAATTAGTTTATCAATGATTGCACGATGCTTCACAGTTTTCAAAAAAAAATTTTTATGCAAATGTCATGCAATAACGCATACTCTAATGTTTGGCATCTAATACTCTAATGTTTGGGGGAGAAAAAAAAAGAAGACACCCCTTCCTCAATAATTCTACTGCATAACTAACAGTAAGGAATGGCTGAATATATTAGAACATATCGTTCATACAACAGAATACAATGTATCATTAAAAATAGTGTGTAGTAGGACCAGCAGTTAGAGTAATGGCTATGTCGCTGGACTCCCATGTAGCCAACCATGGTTTGCGTCCCGGACCCGGTGGCTTAAAACTCACGCCGGACGCATGTGTGTGCATGCCCAAGATCCCGAGAGGAGAATGGAGGAGAAGGGATTGCGGCGTGACCATCCCCCCTGGGGGGTGATTTCTCGCTTTCTGTCTCTCTGTCTTTCTCTGTCTGTCTGGCGAGCGCACACACCCTATAGCGAAAACCTCTAAAAAAGAAAGATCCCAAGAGGAGAATGGATTGCGGCGTGGCCACCCCCCCCGTGGGGAGTGATTTCTCACTTTCTGTCTCTCTGTCTCTCTCTTTCTGACGAGCGCACATGCCCTATAGCAAAAACCTTTCCCCACAAAATGAAAAAAAAGGATATGTGGTTAGATGTTGTGCATTGGGAGCCAGATCCCATACGGCTGACTGTGGCCTGAATCTTGGATCAGCGTGGGAAACATGCCAGGTCCAGGTACGGGCATGCCCCGATCCTGACAGGATGGAGAGTTGGAGGGAAAAAAATGTGGTATGACTGCCCCACGGGAGGGTGCTTTCTCTCCGTCTCATTCTCACATTGTCTTTCTGAGAGAAAGTGCATGTGCTCTCTAGCAATAATAATAAAAAATAAATAAAAATTATGTGTAGTGCATACATGATGGTGTGAAAAATATTCACAAAATATTTCTAAAAAGAAAAAGTTCTGGTTTCTGCTGATAGGTATGTTATTTGGATGATAAACCTTCCCACATCAGATACCTAGAAATGAGAGATAAAAATAATTAAACGAATGAACAAAAGAGTTTTTGAAAAGATATTAAATTGCTGACATAACAATAGAAGATTATAAGACCCTAAACCAAGAGATAGTGAGAAGCCTGTGAGGTAAATTGTACAGTTCTGCTCAGAAGATGTTTGCTGTCCAGGCTAAACTAATGTAAGAACAGAGCTGGGTTTGAGGCAACTTCAGAGTCCTAGCAGGATACAGAGGTGAAGGTCTGGGCCTATCAGTGATAGAGGAAAGGGGAGTCCAGTGAGAGCCCTACATACAGGAATTTGAGACCCTAAAAGGACACTTTTTTTTTCTTTAGAGAGATTTTTGGTATAGGGCATGTACACTCCCCAGAGAGACAGAGACAGAAAGTGAAAAATCACCCCCTAGGGGCGATGACCATGTCACAGTCCCTTCTCATCCATTCTCCACTTGGGATCTTGGGCATGCATGCACAGGCACCTGGCTTGAGTTTTAAGCTGCTGGGTCTGCAACTGGAACTGCAGTGGACTACGTGGGAGTACAGTGACATAACCATTATGCCATTTACTGGTCCCAAGATTAGACAGTTATCTTAAACTCCATACATTTTTTTAAATGTTTTTTGTTTGTTTGTTTGTTTTGTCATAGGGCAAGTACGCTCACCAGAGAGAGACAGAGACTGTGGAGGGAAAGTGAGGAATCACTCCCAAAGGGGGATGGCCACCCTGCAGTCTCCTCTCATTCTCCTCCTAGGAGTTTGGGCATGCAAATACATGCATCCAGAGTGATTTTCAAGCCACCAGGTCCAGGTCTCCAACTGTCGTCAGCCATGTGGGAATCCAGCACCTTAACCACCAAAACTCCATAATTTTAATAGATTATTCACTTGATATTCATCATTGCTGCTTTTTCTTTTATTTTTCTTTATTTTTATTTTTTAATTTGCTATAGGGAACATATACTTGCCAGAGAGAGACAACAAGAGGGAAAATGAGAAATCACTCTCCCAGAGAGATGGCCACACCACAGTTCCTTCTCTCCCATTCTCTTCTCAGGATTTTGGACATGCACGCCCACTTGCCCAGTGTGTTTTTCATGCTGCTGGACCTGGGACTCAAGCTGTGCTGTCAGCCGTCAGCCACTTAGCTGCCTTAATCACAATGCCACTGGCTGATCTCTATTGCTGCTTCTTATGTGTAAAAAACTCTTTTTTTTTTTTCTGGAGAGTCTTACTGCAATAGGGTGCGTGCACTCACCAGAAAGAAAGAGAGAAACAGAGAGACAGAACGCGAGAAATAAACCCCCAGGGAGGATGGCCACAACAACCACAAGTCCTTCTCCTCCATTCTCCTCTTAGGATCTTGGGCATGCATGCACATGTGCCCAGCGTGAGTTTAAGCCACCAGGACCAGGACTCGAACTGCAGTCGACTACAGGAGAGTTCAGCAGCATAGCCATTATGCCAACAGCTGGTCCCTTTAAGAAAGTTCCTATGGGTTGTCTGGTTGCCTAACGGTTAAATTATTGTGAGTTCTACTATTAAAACACTAAATTATGAATTTTACTAGTGAGTAAACAATGTTTTATTTGAGTATCTCTCCCTTTGTGAATATATTATCATAGAACTTTGAAAGAGAAAATTAAGAAAACACTGAATTCTTCATGTCTGGAACTTATTCTTTTCTAAGAGGTGGAAAAAAGAGGAGAAAAAAAAGAAAAAAACAGTATTTCAGAAGGTTTTATCAATCCCCATGGGTAAGCCAAATACCTTTTACTCTTTTAAAGTTTAGTTTTGCTTAATACCAACCTTCCACGGTTTTTTCCTTTCAACAGTGGACCTTTGGCTGACCCTCAGAGACCCACAAAGGCAAAAAGAGTAAATGGCAGGGAGAATAAGAGAGTGACTTTGTATCTGAGGTGGCCAGAACAATTTCATTTATAGCTTGGTTACCTGATACCAAGCTATAAAAGCTCGAGAATTATAATTTAGTGTTTGTATTCATCCATTGAAGTGAACAGGATAAGATTTACCCAGTGAACATTTATCATTCTGTTCTATTTTGAGCTATAGTTCACAAAGCAGTAGGAAGGGTCTACGTGTTGGATATGACACATGCTCATACTTGTTGCAATGTCTTACTCATTTTGGCTCACAAGCCCTGTACTTAATTCAAACTCCAATTGCAATACATTTCTTCTCAGGTTGTCACAATAATATTCTGACAAAGTTGTAAAGACTGATACTATTATTTTGAGAGAGAGATTTTGCTATAGGGCGTGTGCACTCACTGGAGAGACAGAAATCAAGAAATCACCCTCCAGGGGGGATGGCCACAGTGCAATCCCTTCTCCATTCTCCCTTAGGGACTTTCGGCACACACACATACGCACCTGCTATGTGTTTAAGGTGCCCGGTTCAGGACTCAAACTATAATCGACTTTGTGGGAGTCCAGCAAAGTAACCATTATGTCATCCAAGATTGATATTTATTAGCTTCTTGATAAGTGGGAGAGATTAATGCACAGAGAACTGAGACAAATACCCAAAGTCCTAAGTAACAAAGTCCAAATCACAGCTCTCTTCCTTCAACAGGCCAAGTTCTACAACTACCTGGACGATGCTATGCTCCTCCCTTAAAATGTCTCCTTTTTAATCCACCTACACAAATCCTGCCCCCTAACCCCAATTCAAGATGGTAAACGCACTGTAGACTGAAAGCCATAAGGGCTGAATGTGGGCTCAGCAGCCTCAGTTAAAATGCTGCTTCACCTACCTATTTATTAGCTATGTGCTTTTGAACAAGTTACTTAACTTCTATTCATCTCAGTTTTTCTGAAATATGCAATGGAGATAGCATCTGTTCTACCTAATAAGGAAAATTTAAGAAAGAAGCAACCAAGAGAATATACACAGAAAGCCATAGTAAATATTAAGAGCCACATAAAACACATGTATTTGTTAAGGTCCAGGTAAATCCTACTTAATCCAGGGAGTTTTTCAGCCTTTCAATCCAGCCTACCCGGAACTCTCCCTTGGTTCCTGCTACACTGTTTATTTCAGCTTTAGTATATTTCTAGGTCATAAACATCTTCCCTTCACAGAGCCTAGCACAGGGCGATAAAGCACAGTAATGCTCATAACATTCATATCCCGTGTTATGAATAAACTGATGGAGCCATCAAATAAACTGATGGAGCTGAGAGAGACCCTGACCCTTCTGGGACTACATGCTCATTTGTACAAGAAAAAAAATTTAAAACTTCCCTATGGCATATAGTTATATTCACACTCTAATAAGGATATTCACTGAGAAACAGGGTTTTGCCTTTTTTTAAGAATTATTTTATTTAATTTTATTTATTATTTATTCATTTGTTTATTTCAACTTGACCAGAGAGGGACAGAGAGAGAGAGGGAGAGAGAAAGTGAGAAAGCAAGTCACCAGGTCCAGGACTTGAACCACAGTCAGCCATGTGGGAATCCAGCACCTTTAACCACCATGCCACCTGCTGGCCCCCTGGGTTTCATCTTTGAAAGAAGAGGGTTTAACCACATAGACTGCTTAAAGAGACCAGGGCATGGCCAAATCGCAGGTAACATCAGAGAAATCTCCCCAGGCTGGGAGAATCCTAATAAGGGTCAAGAGGAAAAACAATGTCGCCCAAGATACTCTCCTTAGATTAAGAAAATCTCACAGGGAAAAAAGTCTTACTAGACACATTTGCAAATCAGGCAGCCCTTGTTTGATTTCTATAGGAAATAAAAATCTTGAAGGTTTTCCATCTCTCCTGGTGGAAGGAAGATACACTCTAGTATCTTAGGGCTCTTAGTAACTTTCCCATAAAACAAACCAACAAAATAGTTTGCTAGTAGCACTTTACCTCATCTTTGTAAACTAGTTTGCTGGGGCTTGGCCGAGGCTTGTCTTTGAATGAGTAAGAGGCCACTTGCTTCTTTACTAAGTCCAGGAAGTCAGGAGGCATGTATTGAGGAAGATCATTGAGGACTGGATTGTTTCTTTGCACAAGAGGTGGCTTTTTCCTTCCCTCATTTTTAAAATTGTAGGTTGCTATCACTGGATTTAATAGGGATTCCTCAATAAAAGTTTTCAAATGGTAAGTACCAGGTATAGGAGTATTCTGTGAAAAACAAGAGATCAGTTTCAAGATCCTTGAGTAACATTTTAACTTCTAAAGCACTACTCTTGGAGGCGGTCATTCCTAAGTGGCATTTCTTTTTGATTTCAGGTTTAATAAAATTCTATCAAATAATAAACACTCTTAACAGAACAAGAGAATAATGATTATTTCCTTTCTGAAACAGCTGCTGAAAATAGCAAAGGGCTTATAGTTGAACTTTAACTTTCTAAAAGTAACTTCAGGAATATACTTAAACTTGTGATTCAACTTGGATTATAAATTTCAGGCCTCTAGTGAGACCACTCAAGGACAGTTCTTGACTACATAAAGGTATCTTATTCCTGCTAGTAGATACTATGATTCTTTCTAGCCCCCAAATAGAAAGATAAAGGATAATAGAATGAGACTAAGGATGGACTGGCAGAGCATATGCTCTACTGAGTCCAGTAAGAGGCTTGGTATTTTCAAATCCCAACCACAGTGTGGCTGAATGGCCAGACCTGAAGCTTTACTCACTGCTATTTTTATGGTCATCTTTGCATTAAGCACCCAGATCAGTAGTGCCATTAAAATTAGTTAAATTCCAGGAAGACTTTGGCTCACAGAGCCCCTCTATTATTGAAGAGTGTTGATAGAAAACAGGTTTGCAATACATCTTAAAAGAGGGATCTTGGGGGAACCAGCAGTTAGCGTAATGGCTATGTCGCTGGGCTCCCACGTAGTCGACCGTGGTTCACGTCCCGAACCCCGTGGCTTAAAACTCACGCCAGGCGTGTGTGCGTGCATGCCCAAGATCCCGAGAGGAGAATGGAGGAGAAGGGATTGCGGGGTGACCATCCCTTCTGGGGGGTGATTTCTCGCTTTCTGTCTCTATGTCTCTCTCTGTCTGTCAGGCGAGCGCACGCGCCCTATAGCAAAAAACTCTCAAAAAACCCAAAAAAACAAAAAAAACAAACAAAAAAAGAGGGATCTTGGGCCATCAGGTAGTGTGGTGGTTAAGGTGCTGGACACTCCCACATGGCCGACCACAGTTCAAGTCTTGGACCTGGTGGCCTGCTTTCTCACTTTCCTTCTCTCTGTGTGTCTATCTTTCTCTAGTCAAATTAAAATGCATGAATGAGGGACCAGCAGTTAGCATAATGGCTATGTCCCTGGACTTTCATATAGTCAACCGTAGTTCGAGTCCCAGAGCCAGTGACTTAAAAATCAAGCTGGGCGCGTGTGCGAGCGTGCCCAAAATCCAGAGAGGAGAATGGAGGAGAAGGGATTGTGGTGTGGCCACCCCCCTGGGTGGTGATTTCTCACTTTCTGTCTCTCTGGCGAGCGCACGCGCCCTATGGCAAAAACTTCTCCAAAAAAAAAAAAATACATGAATGAATAAATAAAATGAAATAAATCATTCTTTTTTTTAAAAAATGGGGGGGATTGGGAGGCTGGCAGTTGGTGTGGTGGTTAAAGACACTGGACTCCCACATGGCTGACCGAGGTTCAAATCCTGGACCTGGTGACTTGCTTTCTCACTTTCCCTCTCTCTCTGTTTCTCTCTGATCAACACTAGAAAGTAATAATATTAAATAAAGTTAATTTTTATAAAAGGGCGGTGGGATCTTCTGGTCATTTTTCTTTCCTAAATTACCATCTTTTTTTTAGATTTACTATAAGGTGTATGCGCTTGCGTGCATACACATGTGTGCAAGCGAGAGAGAGAAAGTGAGAAAGTACCTCCCATGCAACAATCCCTTTTCCTCTGTTCTCTTCACACAATTTTGGGCAAACACACACATGTGTGCCCAGCCTGTTTTCCAAGCCACTGGGTCTGGGACTCAGACTGTGCAGTCAGTCATGTAGGATCCAGCTTCTTTAACTACCATGCCACTGGCTGGACCACCATCTTACTTTATATACTGCCTGTGTTAACAAATGTTAACATAAAAATGATAAAATGAAATGAAAACACCTTTCCAAGATGTATGCTTTTTTCTTTCTCTTGCAGTCTAAGATCATAAGATCACGGAGTAACCTAGACACTCTGTAAAGCACCTGGGTTCCCAGAGTTGTTTTCTTTTCTTTTCTTTTCTTTTTTTTTTTTTTGAAGAGGTTTTTGCTATAGGGTGCATGCGCTCGCCTGACAGACAGAGAGAGACATAGAGACAGAAAGCGAGAAATCACCCCCCAGGGGGGATGGCCACGCCGCAATCCCTTCTCCTCCATTCTCCTCTCGGGATCTTGGGGACGCATGCACACGCGCCCAGCATGTGTTTTAAGCCACCGGGTCCAGGACGCGAACCGCAGTCGACTACGTGGGAGTCCAGTGACATAGCGATTACACTAACTGCTGGTCCCAAGTTGTTTTATTTTCTCAAGCTTTAATGACACTCAAAATTTAAAGTTAATTTTTCATTCATATGTTGATACTACAATTTTAAGTATGAAATGAAGCCCATGTAGATCTAAACCAGTTTTCCTTTTTTTTTATATAGGTTTTTGCCATAGGGCTCATGTGCTCGCCAGAAAAAGAGACAGAGACAGTGAGAGGAAAAGTGAGAAATCACCCCCCACTCCAGGGTGGATGGCCACAATCCCTTCTTTTCCATTCTCCTCCTAGGATCTTGGGCACGCATGCACATATGCCTGGCGCACACATGCACATATGCTTGGTGTGAATTTCAAGCCACTGGGTTCGGGACTTGAACTGCAGTTGGCCATGTGGGAGTCCAGTGACATAACCACTATGCCATCTACTGGCACCTTAACCAGATTTCTATACTGTTACTGATAAAACAGGTAAGACTCATTAAAATATTAATGAAGAAATAATCTAGACAGAAAAGACAGAAAATATACATACTGTTAATGCTATTCTCCACCATCCTTCTCTCTCAAAAGATGAAGTTTTCCGGGATGGTTTCTATTAACAAACACCAGACATGCTTATTCATTGGGGAAATGAAACTTTCAAATTAAATATAATATATAAAGCATTTACTTGGAGGAATTAATAAACATTCATTAAAATAAAAGTTGCATAATGATAAATTTTGTCTGTATTTCCCTAAATTGTTATTATCTTAAGTTATTTTAAATATCTAAATTCTTGTTGACAAAAATCAGAGTAATAAACATCCCCATCTCACAAAGATATATATGTAAGGATATAAGGTGTGACACAATTTGGAGCATTTAAGAGTTGGGCTTGGGGCCAGGAGGTACTGTGGTGGTTAAGGTGCTGGATGTCCACATGGCCAACAGTGGATGAAGTCCCAGATCTGGTGGCTTGCTTTCTTACTTTCCCCTTCTCTTTCTCTCTCTGTCTGTTTGGTCCAATTAAAAAATAAGTAGTCGACCGCAGTTCGAGTCCTGGACCCGGTGGCTTAAAACTCATGCCGGGCACATGTGCATGTGTGCCCAAGATCCCGAGAGGAGAATGGAGGAGAAGGGATTGCGGCGTGGCCATCCCCCCAGGGGATGATTTCTCGCTTTCTCTCTCTGTCTCTGTCTGTCTGGTGAGCGCACATGCCCTATAGCAAAAACCTCTCAAAAAAAAAAAAATAAAAAATAAACACACAAACAAACAAACTTCCAAAACCCCTGAAAAAGGTGCCTGAGCGTGAGCCTGTGCCTGCTCCTGAGCCAGAGCCAGGGCCAGAGCCAGAGCTACAGCTAGAACCTGAGCTTGTTAAAGGAAATTCTTCACCTGAGCCTATTTTGGTTGATACTTCTTCAAGCCCAATGGAAACATCTGGATGTGCTACTGCAGAAGAATATCTGTGTCAGGCTTTCTCTGATGTAATTCTTGAAGTGAATGATGGGACGCAGAAGATGGGAGCTGATCCAAACCTTTGCAATGAATATGTAAAAGAAATCTATGCTTATTTGAGACAGCTCGAGGAAGAGCAAGCAGTCAGACCAAAATACCTCTTGGGTCGGAAATAACTGGAAACATGAGAGCAATCCTAATTGACTGGCTAGTACAGGTTCAAATGAAATTCAGGTTGTTGCAGGAGACCATGTACATGACTGTTTCTATTATTGATCAATTCATACAGAATACTTGTGTGCCCAAGATGCTGCAGCTGGTTGGTGTCACTGCCATGTTTATTGCAAGCTAATACGAGGAGATGTACCTCCCAGAAATTGATGACTTTGCTTTTGTGACTAACAATACACTAAGCATCAAAGCAGACAAGTGGAAATGAAGATTCTAAGAGCTTTGAACTTTGGTCTGGGTCGTCCTCTACCCCTGCACTTTCTTTGGCGAGCATCTAAAGTTGGAGAGGTCGATGTTGAACAACATACTCTGGCCAAGTACCTGATGGAATTAACTATGTTCAGCTATGATATGGTGCACTTTCCTCCTTCTCAAATTGCAGCAGGAGCTTTTTGCTTTGCCCTGAAAATTCCTGATAATGGTGAATGGACACCAACTCTCCAGCATTACCTGTCTTATACTGAAGAATCACTTCTTCCTGTTATGCAGCACCTAGCTAAGAATATAGTCATGGTGAATCGCGGGCTTACGAAGCACATGACCATGAAGAATAAGTATGCCACATCTAAGCATGCTAAGATCAGCACTCTAGCACAGATGAATTCTGCACTGGTTCAAGATTTAGCCAAGGCTGTGGAAAGGTGTAACTTGTAAACTTGAATCAGAGTATTATACCTGCAAATAGAATTGGCACCATGTGCCATCTGTACATATTACATTACATTTACTTTTAATAAAGTTTGTGCCCTTTTATTTTTTGCAGCTTAACTCATTCAAATGTGGTTACTTCCTACTTCAGGGTAACCTAAAAAAGATTGTCTTTAAAAATCCTAAAGGGAATATTTGAAAAACTGCTTTCACTTTATCTGAGGATCCAGCTAAGTTATATAATTGTTACCTTTATGTTTATATACGTGGCTCTTACTTTATGTACCTGGTGAGTGTATTCAAAACCTTTACCTCTGGAGGGCATACTGCCTGTAAGCCAAGCATCGTAGAGAAGCTGCTAACTAGTTCTGTCTCAAAGTAAAAGTCTACCACCTCATTCCTAATCACCCTGTTTTTGGTTTCTTGTGGTGGCCTGCCATGACTACAAGTAATTTATTTTTGTCACTGTTTCTTCAGTTACTAATTTTAGCTAGTATCTTTTCAAACTTTTCACTTTGAAAAATAACTTTTTGTATTTTAAACCGTGTTTTTTTGTTTATTAAGAAAACAGGATGCTCAAACCAAATACAAAAGTATCTTTTAGAAAATGGTTTAATTTGGGGGCCGACAGGTGGCGTAGTAGTTAAGGGTGCTGGACTCCCACATGACCGACCGCAGTTTGAGTCCAGGACCTGGCACCTTGCTTTCTCACTTTCTCTCACACAAGCCTGTTCTCTCGCTCGCTCTCTCACTCACTCTGTCCCTCTCTGGTCAAACTAAAATAAACAAAGTTAAATAAAATAATTCTTTAAAATAAGAAAAGGTTAATTTAGTCCTGCCTTAATCTCATCCACCTAAAAAATAGCCACTGTTTGAGATGTAGCCTTCCATGCCTTATATAAGCATAAACATGCACATAAATTATTAGGGGGATTTCTAAATATTGGTTCATTCTGTATACATAGCAATTCCCTTCAACATATACAGAACTAACGGTGTTCATGTATCACATTACAGAGTATGGGTATCCTGTAATGTGTTCATCCATTCCCCTAGTAACATTTACTTTTTCTTTTTCCCCATACAATGTTATTGTGTTTTTCAATGCTACCATGTTTTTCTTTGTGTATGCTCAGTTTCCCAAAGAATGTGTGAATTTCAAGTTCTGACAGGTAGAGCCAGGTGACTTTCTGAATGTCATCAGCAATGTTCAAAAGTGCCAGTCTTCTGTCCTTGTTAGAACTGACTCAGTCTTGGGAACCAGCAGTTAGCGTAATGGCTATGTCGCTGGACTCCCACGTAGTCGACCG